CTGTGCCACTGGGGGACGACACAGTGGTACGTCTGCGGATTTATACCGATAGAAACCGGGTTTCGATACCCGTGGAGGGCAGAGCACAGATAGCCCTTTGTGTAGCTTTGTGCTTATCTCCGAAACAATCAAAGAAACGACGATAAACAGCAGGTACAACAGAAAATTTGAGCAACACCTATAGCTGATAGGCGATATGCCGATTTAGTTAGTTAACAAAAGCATTGGGAAACATGAAGACATTTCAACTGGAAAGTCGGTTTTCTTTTCTAGGCCTCGTCGTACACAATTTCTTCAACGTTTATAACGTTTCTAACCACCTGAAGCTTTACTGTTAGTATGATAGAAGGGTAGTGGTGTTTGAAGAAGCAGTGGCTGGCTCTTTGTTGGCCGTTAATGGTACAAGAAACTACCATCTATGACCTGTTACATTCGACCACGCAGCACTGAAAACTGCACGAACATGAGTCACTTTCCACGCGACAACAACAGTGTATCTGTTATGAGGTGGACTATTGTTGTTGTTTTAGTGCACGTGCTTGGCATGGTTAGGGCGCTCGACCCGCTTTACCGTCGCTGAACCTTTATGGTTGCCGACTGGGCCAGCCATCACGGAAAAGAAGTTTGAATGCACAACTACGTAAATGTGGAGAATCGAACCACAAGTGAAAGAGAAACACTCGAATGACTATGAAGGCAAAATAACAAAAGCGACACCTAAATATAGATTGATTTGTTTAAATTGTTTAAGTGCGAAGCTGCACCACGAGCTATCTGCGCTGAGTCAACCATAGGGAACGAAGCCAGAACTTTTGCGTTATAAGCCCTCAAGTTTAGGGTTTTCATTTTAAGTACAGTAAAGATGATAACAGTAATTATAGTAGTGCTTTTTGCAGTATTTCTACCAATAAGTCACAAGTGATCTGGAAATGTGATACAAGAAGAAAGAAAAAGAAACTTTTCTATAGCAGTTCTAGATAAGTTAACTTCAAAATAACAGTTTCAGTTACATAAACAAGGGTAATTACAATCACAAACCATTTTTTTTACTATTCTCCCCTATTCACGCATTTTTTCTTTTGTGTGTAGAAGGGTTACAGTTAGTAGAGTACCCCACTTCTTTTAGCAGTTCTGGTGTGTTTGTTTGTCGGTTTTAGCATAATGCTAGACAAGAGGCTATCTGCGCTTTGTCAACCACTGGAATCAAACCCCGGATTTTAGTCTAAGATTTCCGCTGACCTACTTTGGGGGAAACGTTTGAGTGCCACTACCTTACTCAAACAGCAAATAATATATAACGTGGGAATTTAACTCATTAACTCTTTTTTTTTCTTCTCTCTCTCTCTGTTATTCATCAACTGCACATGAACAACACTTAATCGCGTTTAGGTGCAAAGTTTCGTGCAATAAGTGGCTTGATTAAGTTATTATTGACAAAACTGTTTATTTTTTTAAAGCAGAGCGCTACGATTGGTTGGAAAAACCGAATGTTTTCATTATGTCTGCTGATTCCATAACAAGAGTAGCCAATCATGATGTAGGTCTGCGCGTGCAAGTTCCCGCCAGCACAACCCGGCGCTTGCCTGCGGCGCTATCCAATTCACACACCTAACGCAGGGGGAGATGCCTTAGTTCTCTGTTTGGTCTAGTATTAATGGTGATTTTGTGAAATCAGTGACACAAGTTTGATATGCAAGGATATGTAGGATATGTAGGATTGATATGCAAATAACAAAAGACGAAAAGACGTTCACACATAACCATCAGTATGAGCACGACCATTAATATATCTGATCGAATCCTGGTCGAAAATCACGAGGTCAGAAAGATGTCAGTCGAGGTTAACACTAACCATAGGAGATATTTGCAGGCTAAAGTCTCCGCCAGTGACAACAACAGCAGAGGGTGTCTTTCTCTTCATGCTCATTCTATAGACGCTCTTTTAGGAGAGAGACGTCAGAAGCCACCAGAAAAGAGACTTGATCTTTCCGAGTTACGAGAAAACCAAACAAACTTGCTACAAATCAGGACTTTTCCGGACTTGAACCCTGACGAAGATCTTGTTCCTTTCCAATGCTTGACTCACTATAAAGGTTTGTTTGTTTAGCTGTTTTTTTCCCTAATTTCCCCCAAATCTACTCAAGGAATGTCTGCGCTAGCTGCCCCAAATTTAGAAGTGATAGACTAAAGGAAACCACCTATTCAATATCATCCACCCCCAACTGTTGAGCTACTCTTTACCAGCGAAAACTAGGATTGACCGTCACATTATAACGCCCCATGGCTGAAAAGGCGAGTATGTTTGGTGACGGGATTTGAGCCCGAAACTCATAGTTTACGAGTCGAGAGCCTTAATCATCAGGCCACGCCAGGCAGCTGAACGGTCTGGACTCACAATAACTGTATGCAGCTCAAACAACATGAATAAAAACACATTTGCTTCTATTATAAACGAATCTAGACTAATTAGAAATATATCATAGTTACTGACATAATTATTTTAAACTTATTGGTCAGATATATTGAAAGTTTATCTCAATATCGATCATTTCTTGGACACAGCGACTATGGGACTAGAATAGGCGATCGAGTCACGGTAGTTGTGCATGAGATGAAAGCACGAGTCAGAAATGAGACTAATCCCTCTACATGTGTATCACTATTCTTTAATAATGTCGCTTAATAGCAATATTATTAATTACTGCGGTCACGTGAAAGGACAATATCGGCATTGCCCCTTGAGCGACACGAGAGTACGCTGAAGTCACGATACCACGTGCACACGACTGCATCTGCACGCGTGAGTTGACGCCAAATTTATCCCGCGTGCGTGTAATGCTGATGAAATATGCCTTTATTTCGTAGCTTATATCGTTTTTCTATCGGACTAAAAAAAACTTCTGTAGTAGGACTAACATACGTATTATATTGCATCTAATAGCTAATGTGATTTTGTTTTTCTTCTGTGGGTTCTCTTTAACTTCTTTATTAACATATTCGATTCGACAATATGAAAGTGGTTTTACGGTTAACGGTGTGATTTCACAGAGAAACAGGTTCGCTATCAGACATGGTTGTTATGGGTTGCGTCAGGTTCGTTGGGTAATTTCGATATTTCTAGTTGCACCAGGTTCGCTAGGATATTTGGTTGTTTTGCGTTTTCATCTGGTTCCCTGAGTGCTTTCGTTGTTTTAGGAATTGTAGTTTTTTTTTCACTTTTTTTTTTATATATATATTTGCTTAATGCTTTGTTAATGATATTCGGAGATATGTTTAGCTTTATCGCAGTGGCTTTCGAGTGGGAAGGTTCTCTTTCGTAACTAGTCTCCACTTTGCAGGTGAAGCCAGAATGTTCTGGAGAATAGTTTCCGATCCCATTATTTCTTACCATATGCTCTATTAAGTGAGTTTCCTCCTTCCCACGGAACACTAAAAACTTCTTTCTTCGAAGTATTGTCTTTTGGTAATCTTACTATACGAATATTCGTTCTCGGAAAGAACTTTGACACATATTCCATATACCAAATACCCCTAACAATTACTGACTTTAACAGAATATACGCACTCTGTGGGTTCAGAGAAAAGGACAACTCTCTTAAATTTCAAATGTATAGAAAGAAAAAAAAAACTGGAATTTTACAACTTGGACAGAATATTTATGCACTTAAGGTAAGAATCAGAGATCCCAGAGATACAGGTATAACCGTCCCTAATTTTCAACTAAATGACCAAAGGGACGGCAGCTATCCAACAGCACCTGCCGCTATAAGGGTGCTGCTCTTTTAATGGATTTGACTGTTACTTTTATAATGCATCCATAGCTACTAAAAGTGTTTATTCTGCTCAGTAGCATCACACTTTGAGCCTTGGATCGTTTAAATTTATGTGTAAAAAACAATAACTAATTTAATATTTTCATCGTGGAATTCTTTTTTTTTCAATTTCTTCTCTTTCTGTCTGGTTCAAATATTTTCTGTTTGTGTATTTTTGTTTTAAATATTGCGATAAAAGCTAATAGAGACAGTGAATAATAGAATGTAATTAGTGTCACACATATTTTAGTATTTGTGTCACACATTTTTAGTATTTGTGTCACACATATTTTTAGTATTTGCGTCACATGTATTTAATATTTGTGTCACACATATCTTTAATACTTGTGTCACATATATCTTTAATACTTCTTCACAAGCCTATTAATTACAATACAGAGCATGCATAGCTTTCAAAGATTAAAAACAAACAATTTAAATTGTGAAGTTCAAATACTCCGTTTTTGTTTTTATGTTCCATTTCACGTCATGAAGACTTATGACTTTATCTTTGTAATAGGACATGTATTAGCATAAATATCTCGTGCTTGCAGCTACAACTAAAGATTCAGTACAGTCAGCAGATCCTAATGTGAGAAATGAGACGTTTATAGCTACCTTGAATCTTATGATATAGGGTTTTCACACTTTGTGCTAGTGGTGGGTCTCATAGTGCAGTCTCGGGATTCGAACAATAGCTATCAGACCTGGCATGGCTTGGTGGTTAGGCACTCGACTCGCAACCTGCAATGAGATAGACTATTTGCACTGTGTCTTCCGCGAGGAATCAAACTCTCGATTTTAAAGTTGTAAGTTCGTAAACTTACCGCTGACCACACTGAGTAGTTGGATTCAGTAAATCTAACTCTAATTATATTCTTTGTTCTGTTTCTGACTGTTTTATTCTACTCACTCATTCATTACACAATAAACACGCACACTAATAAAGCGATAAAAACAATAGTTGTAAGTGACCTTCATAAAAACAATAGTTGTAAGTGACCTTCATAAAAACAATAGTTGTAAATGACCTTCATAACAAACAATGACCTTCATAAGAATAGTAGGTGTAAATTACCTTCATAAAAACAATAGGTGTAAATGACCTTAATAAAAACAATAGGTGTAAATGACCTTCATAAAAAACAGTAGGTGTAAATTACCTTCATAAGAACAGTAGGTGTAAATTACCTTCATAAAAACAATAGGTGTAAATGACCTTCATAAAAACAGTAGGTGTAAATTACCTTCATAACAAACAGTAGGTGTAAATGACCTTCATATAAAACAATATGTTTAAATGACCTTCATATAATAGGTATAATTTACCTTCATAAAAGAATAGGTGTAAGTGACTTTCATAAAAGCAATATGTGTGAACAACCTTCATAATAAACAATAGGTGTAAGAGGCCTTCATGAACTTAATAAACATACGGTCGTCAGTTTAGACAACTAGGTATTCTGAACTTAGCACTATCTTTACTGCTGTGTTGTAAGTGACTTGGCTTCTGTGAGTTTTAAGCAAACAAATACCCTTTTATTAACATAATTTATTAATAACGAAATAAACAGAGATAGTTGAAGGAAAACCTATTCAAACAACGATATTAAGACTAACGAAGTTTAAATAACTCCATAAATTATCTAGTAAAGCTGGTTTAACAGAAAAAAAACATACTTTAGGCCAGTAGAAACTGACAGAGGAAATTACACACAACAGACGTGAGTGACTGGAGTGAAAACCTGTAAGTTTCACATTCAAGTTTTTAAAATTCTAGTCAAACTGGGTCGGACATAGCATAGTGGTTAGCGTGTTGGGCTGCGTATCGTAGGGTTCTGAGTTTGATATGTGATCTCTTTGATAACGCTCCTCATTTTCACCAGTGGACGCGTTATAAAAGTATCACTTAATCCCGTTAATCGACTTGAAGAATCAGATAATGACTTCGTGATGTGGTTAGCTGCCTTCCCTTTGGTCAGTAGCTCAAAATTAGGGACGTTATGCTTGAATTAGCTCATGTACGCATGAGGAGTCGTTTAGGTTCAAGATTACGGTCCTAACAACACTTATTTTAAGCATATGAGTGGTAGATTGTTATAAAAAACATAGATTTAAACACACTTTTATGTATAGATTATCTTTTTTCCAAAAGAACATTTTCAAGGATGTTCCACAAATAGGTAGATGTGCTGTGTAGTTTCTTTCACCAAGACTCAAACTCCTTACAATTGTTATGATCTGAAAATATAATGTTGAAACATTTTACCCGATAATAATTAATAATAATAATAAGTTTGCCAATAATTTTACAAATTATTGTTTTGACAAAATAAGAGTGGTGCACACTTGAAATAAAATAAATTATCCGACAAGATAATTGTGGCACACACTTGTAATAAAACGAATCATGATATGACAGGATAACAGTGATATACCTTTACGATAATTGCTGGATAATACCGTTGTAATTTGGTCTATAATACTATTGTATTTGGCTTATAATATCGTTATCATTTGGTCTATAATACCGTTATAATCTGGTCTATAATATCGTTGTAATTTGGTCTATAATACCATTGTAATTTGTTCTACAACATAATTGTAATTTGGTCTATAATACCGTTGTAATTTGGTCTGTAATATCGTTGTAATTGTTCTATAATACCATTGTAATTTGTTCTATAATGCTATTGTAATTTGGTCTATAATACCGTTGTAGTTTGGTCTATAATACCGTTGTAATTTGGTCTATAATGCTATTGTAATTTGGTCTATAATATAGTTGTAATTTGTTATATAATATAGTTAAAATTTGGTCCATAATAATATTGTAATTTGGTCTATAATAATATTGTAATTTGGTCTATAATAATATTGTAATTTGGTCTATAATACCATTGTAATTTGGTCGATAATGCTGTTGTAATTTGGTCTATAATATTGTTGTAGTTTGGTCGATAATGCTGTTGTAATTTGGTCTATAATATTGTTGTAATTTGGTCTATAATACCGTTGTAATTTGGCCTATAATACCGTTGTAAATTGGCCTATTGTAATTTACTTAGATTCCTAAACGCAAAGATCAATGAGGATCATCGTTTCATTAAGTTTTGTTAAATGGTTTATATCTAGTCATTTGATGTAGTTCATTTTGACTTCAAGCAAAACTTTAAATACAGTTGCGTCAGCGAGGTCCCGTGACTAGTATCACGCCACCTCCTTCTAGAAATATCCTGTTCCTTCGTGAATTGTCGGGAGACTACTAGATTGGGGATAGTCTGGTATATATAAGACCGGCCACGAAGCGACGGAGAGGTAATGAGTAATTGAATGTATGGGATAAAATATTGTTGGCCACGTGAGACGTGAGTTATAGCGTTGTTATAGAGCGACTGTTGAAATTAAATGTATCGTAAAGTTGTATTCGGAAAGAATAAACCACTTTTATTTAAGAATGGACTTGTGTCGCTAAAGTTTCGTCGGAACGAATTTATGGAAAATTAACTAACGAACAGAGACGTAACAATACATATAAGTATCCCTACAAAGAATTGAAATATATATCATAAGAATGTAAGTCGCCTGTTTTGCTACTGATAATAGACGAAAGTGTTTTTATATGTCTCTTTGTTTTGATGACTGTTAGATAGTGTTGAATAGGGGGATTATAGTAATCTATTAAATCTAGTGTTATTTCGTTTATCTTGTTATTTTTTACTGTTTTTTATATATATAATCGAATTAAAAAACAAACAAGTGACTGATTTTCTTTCACACACCAGCTTTAATATTCGTACTTTACATATTAGATAAGCAGACCTTTAGAATTGGCATACCGTTACTGTAGGCTTAAGAAGCCACTTGTTCCTTTAAACGCACAGTTCACTAATGATGAGATTTTATACGATGAAAATAAAAGGCCCATTCTGTGCTAAATCTACAGTGTAACTCACGTGCTATTCATCTTAATGGTGATTCGGTCCATCTTTTGGACCAGGGAGGGTCAGGTTCAGCGTTGACCTCTTCCTCCCTCTCAGGAATTGTTATTCGTTTTGCACTGTTACTGAATCCTAGCTAATAACCGTTCTTACATTGTTGCATAACTCACAGTATGTGAAATTTTGTCCATTGTTCATGGGGTAATATTAACTCGTATATTTTCACTATCTTCACTTATGTATGATCGCACTATTAGTCCGTGTTTACAATACAGTTCCACTTAGCAGTCATATATATATATACACACACACACATAATCTCACGTGCTAAGAGGCTCGAGGTATTGTTTGCTTTCACCGCCGATATAAACTGTATTTATTGGTGTTTCGTGAAGTATATAAAATGCTTGTACATTTTAAAAAAAATTCGATATCCTTGATGCCTCAGCTACTTCAAATATCCAGACTAGCTGTCTTGATATGAATTGTTTTCCAACTCAGATAAACGCTTGAAGATCTGAAGAAAAAAAAAGATCTTATTATGTTGATCACACTTGCCGCGATGAATGTGTTAGGAAAAATAGTTCTTCGCAGACCTCGGTGGAATGTCGGATGTATTTAGATGTTTTAATTAAGCTAATCGCTGGATAAGCTGTTCTACTGAACTTGCGCAAACAGTTTGCATCTAGACTTCTACTAACCCGATTGTGACGATTCAAGAAATAAAGATCCGTTCAGAAGCAGGTGCTTAGAGGTCACGCTGGACGACACAAAGGTGTATTGTTTCCAAAAGAAAGGATTACCCCCCCCACCCCATAATAGTCTTCTGTCGCTAGTCTGTGGCGTAGGGACGCCCTTTACTCTTCACACACAATCACTAAAGAGAAGTATTTCCTATAAAATGTAACCCTAACAATTATATTTCTAGGTCCAGATGAAAATCACAAAGAACAACAAAACCGTGAACCAAGTGGGTTTTCCAACAACGCTCTTGCTGCAGAAGAGGAATTTGATGTAAGGTCCGAGACGCACGAGGACTCACCAAAAAGGCCACATCGTAGGAGTAGAACCACTTTCACTACTTACCAGCTTCACGAGCTCGAACGAGCATTCGAAAAAACTCACTACCCGGATGTCTACAGTCGGGAAGAGCTCGCCATGAAAGTAAACTTACCAGAACTCCGAGTACAAGTAGGTGGCGCTAAAGATGCCCACTATATAAATATTATTACCAAACAGACTTAAAAAGTTTTATAGTCGATATTTTATTAAATCATAGAAATGAAACTAGTATAACAGCTTACCCCCTTGCTTACTTAAAAAACTGAAATCCAACAAACTCAGCTTAAGGCCTTGCGGGTTTAATTTCTATACGTTTATAAATTTGGATTTGTTTATTTCCTGTTAAGCAAAAGCTACACAATAGGCTATCTGTACTTTGCCAACCATGGGTATCGAAACCAGGATTTTAATCTTCAGACATACCGTTGAGCCATGGGAGAGGGAGATTAATTACAACACTAAATCAGCTAATTCTAATTATTTCTGTAAAGAGTTTAACAGTACTAACTACAACGTGTCAATGTCTATATTAGTTACGCCTTCACGATGTTGTGTTTTTAGATTTCCTCCCAAGAACTATAAACTACAACCAATGTGTTAAACAAATCATGTTTTAACTGCTGGTATAAAAACATGCGAATTTAATTACCGGTAGAATACCACACCACATTAATGTTTTAACTGTTTGTAGAAAAGTCGATATGCTTTTTCACGTTTTTGGCCATATAATGGCCCTTCTATGTTCACATGACAATAGATACTCTGCCATCCAGATATGATCATGAATACAATCCTATCTGTATATTACCACGGATACTCTACCATCAAGATATGACCATATATACTATCCTATCTATATATCACCACCATCAAGATATGACCATATATACTATCCTATCTGTATATCACCACGGATACTCTACCATCAAGATATGACCATAGATACTATCCCATCTATATATCACCACGGATACTCTACCATCAAGATATGACCATAAATACTATCCTATCTGTATATCACCACCATCAAGATATGACCATAAATACTATCCTATCTGTATATCACCACGGATACTCTACCATCAAGA